ACATGTTTATGCCCTGACTTCAGCTCTTGTCAGCATTAAGGTTACAAGGTTAGAACCTGCACTCCTTGAGGTTTAATTACAGCAGCTCTCAAATTAGTATATCAAACTAATGTACTCACTGGCATGGTCTTGTCTCCAAAGAAATAAATAGTCTTGTATCCATCCTTGGCAACAATTCCTAAGCAGTACCTTTTATCCCAGCCATCTGGGAACACATCGATGCTTATCTGCCCTCCTAGGAGAGAGAGGAACCAAGACTTGTTTCATTTTAACAATGTATTTCTGAAGGGAGAGGAAGTGAAAGAAAAACCTAAACTGGGTAAGATTTTAGGTAGAGGGAGCTTTGCAGAAGACACAGAAATATTGTGAGATACTGGAGTTAAGTCCTGCAAGTACAGAAAGTGTTTTATAGGGTATCAGTTATTAGAAACATGATTCAGAGATTATTTATCCATTCATGCTCATCCATGTCTGAGCATGTTCCCAAATACTCACTGCTATCCAAATGAACCTTTTAAAAGAATTACATTTGACCTCTTTACTTTTAGAAAGGAAGGACACATGAACACAGACACTGATATATTCACAGCCATAAAATCGTAGGCAAAATACTTTCCAAGGCTTTCAGAGTAGGAAAGGGGAGAAATCAGCCCTTTCAGCAGCTGTTCCAGTTCTGAACCCTTGGCCTTCACCAATACTAAGAGCATGATTCCCAGATGAAGTAGATGTATTTACAACATAAATATAAATACCTTATAAAAGGTATTTACAACATAAAGGAGAGAGGAGAGCTGCACTGCAGATCACTTCTGCCTTAGTGCTTCAGCACTAATGCCAACCATACTTTGCAATTCTGAAAAATAATAAAAGGCAGGAGTGTGGTAATGCATTAGGAGAGAAGGTAAAATAAAAATGCATCAAAAATTAATTCTCTCTTATGATAATTTTTTTTTCCTTAAGCTTGCACTTGCTTTTGGATTCTTTCCTTCCTCCCACACAAAGCAGGTATAGCTGAAGAACCAAGGGCAACTGGAACAGCACTGAGGGAGTAGCTCTGATCAAAACTGATTCACAGAAACAACTCTGACTAATCTGAAGCATCTAATATGCTCCAAAACGAGCAGAATCAGTCACACAACTGACATCAAAAAACAATGAACCGATGACAAGAAATGAAGTTCTCTTTGTTGATGGATTTTCAATTAAAATGTCCCAATAAAAGCCTGAGAGGAAAAAAAGGCTCAGTCTTGCCTGCAAGCACCCCCAGAGAAACCTGTCACACAAATGAGATGGGATGTCACAGCCATAAGAGAGTATGATTTAAATGAAATTTAAATTAATTGATGTTTTAAATGGCAAAAGTCTTACCTATTGAAAACGTGAGGCCTTTGCCTGCAAATTCTCTTTGTAGATCAGCTACAAATTTCTCTCTTATATGCTCCTTCTGTTAAGGAAAAAAAAACCCAAAACCCAACAACAGTTACATGCTGTAACTGTGCTGATTTACCAATGAAAAGATAACCTAAAAACACCTCTAAAAAAGAATGGTTTTATTGATTTGAATGACCCAGGCTGGTTACACTACAGAAGACACTGAGAAAGAATGGTTTTACCTAGGAGAGGGTTTTTTAGACACTCCATGTATAGAAGCAGGATGTTCAGTACTCTGGATATTGGATTAAAAACATGAGCCAAACCCACCCTTCTGCAAGTAATCCTTGCTATTCCAACAAAAAAAAAAACCAAAACACTATTTACTTCCTGAGGTTTGAATGAGGAAATTAGTTAAAAAGGAATGAAAAGGATTAAAATGAAAAAAAAATTTGCACAAATTATAGAAGTTTTTAAAACTGCCTCCTCCAGGAGAGCTGGGTATTTTTCAAGAGTTGTAACTCACTTTATCAAGTTCATAGAACTCAAGTCGTTCTTCCTGGCTGCAGCTTCTTCCAATGGGGGACACATTTAACATCCCATTTCTGAACTCAATGAAAGTGCCTCTGCAAGGGAATTGATCAACAAGACAGAAAATAGATGAGAAAACTGCTCAAAACACTAAATATCACAGTAAATTTCCATTTAACTCTAAAGGCAGTGGGAATCAGTTGCCTCACTACATGCAGGTACCTCTGGCACCAGTAAGTCTTTTGGACTTTGAATCTGGCAACCTCATCATCATCCTTACTGGCTTTTGAAAGTACCATTTGGTTTAACAAGTGTGCCTGGAGCATCCCATCAAGCTCAGAGCCTGACAGGCCAGGCTGTCAGTTTGGGGTGAAGCTGCTGAATTCCCAGCAATGGGGGCAGTGTCCTGCCCTGCCTCACAGAGCACATTTCAGTCTCTGCACAGCTGCACCTCACACATCACACAGAGCTGCTCTGGCTGCACTTCTCACCTCTGGAAAGCACTGTGCCCCTGAATTCCAAACATGGCAAGGGAACACTCCTACTTCAAAAGTGAATTTCCTTCCCTCTGACATGAAAGTGCTGAATCAGTATTTCAAGCCCTGTGCTCCAGCTGGGAACAGAGCTCTGTGTCACACACACAGTGCTGTTCCCTAAGCAGAAATTACTCATTTTTTTTGCTGACACCCTGAGCTGAGCTTTATATCCCCCATGGAGAACAGGACCACCCTGAGATGTCTGTGTGCACATACCTCTTCTTTGGCAGTTTAATCTTTGCAATGTAACTCAGGCAGTAGTTGATGACATCTTGAAGGATGTCCTCGCCCAGGTGGCCCTGAATGCTCTAACAAAACAAACACCATTCAACCAAGGGTCCAGAATCTGAGATTCTAAAAGCAAGTCACATGGAGAACACAGACATTGGGTAATCAGGCATGGTTAATACCACAGAGAAACAAACATGCCTTCAATCAGTAACATCAGCTGATGCTCATGTGGTACTAACTAAAGGCTCTCATTTTTCTTTTTGTTCATTTTGTAACACCAAACTGTCCTTTAATATGATTCCTAGTTGTACCTGCTTCAGAAGGAAGCTGTGCCACAGGAGCAGCCCTAAACAAAAAGCTGCATTTAATGTCTGCTACAGCCAAGCATGAAGAAATGGAGCTTGTTCCTGCAGTAAACTGGAACCACTGGTCAAGGCAGCAAATTCAGCCAGGATCTCTAAGTGTTTGCTCTCCATTATTTATGTTAAACATTACATGCCAGATGAATGATCCATTAACAGCACTAACACATGAAAGCAGCAGCAACTTTGGTCTTTGAAAGGGTGATTACAGAGGACTACACTGTACAAATAAATCAAAATCTTGTTTAGAAAATGTCTTTTTCTCACTATTGGAAACTTCACACTTACCTGCTTGCTCAGGAATTTCCCATCTTTGTATGCTACCAGGCCATTTTCTGAGAACACATAGTCATATTTTTCAATCACTGCAAAAAAGCAAAAAGACAGTAAGTCATCATTTCCCCTCAATGCTTAAGGCAGAATTGTCTTAAATGTTAATTAGCTTAAAATACAGCAAACATTAGCTCCTACAGCATAAAAGTTTCAGCAGCACAGCATGAAGCACAAGATTAATGCTAGTCCCACTTCTCACTGTGATTAACACACACCTCAAATCACGTGAAGTCATTTGTTTGACTTACCTGTGGTTTTACTTAGAGGGATACAGCTCTCTGCATTAAATGTAAAGGAATGACCGAACAACTGGCACACGGCCTGGCTTGAGAGCAAGTCCAGTACTGCCCTTTTAGGTTTGTTTCCTCAGTGTCACTGATCTTCAGCAGATGCCTGGGAGCTGTGAGTCTCAGCACCACACAAGATGATGTGGTTTACTGGAGAGCACTTGGAACGCAAACCAACTGAGCTGTCTGGGCACTACAGGGGCCTATCAGTGGCATCAGTTAAGGGAAGACCATTAAGAATAAAGGACTGAGGCAAGAGTCCACAGACACAGAGCCCCACAGCGAACACAACCAGGTCCTCAGGGATGTGCTGGACAGCTGAGCAGCCCACAGGTGTGGCACACACGGTATGGCACACACACACGGTATGGCACCCACACATAGTATGGCACCCACACACAGAGGTATGGCACACACACACACGGTATGGCACACACACACACACGGGTATGGCACACACACACACACGGAGGGGTATGGCACACACACACACGGTATGGCACACACACACACGGTATGGCACACACACACACGGTATGGCACACACACACACACACCTATGGCACACACACCTATGGCACACACACACCTATGGCACACACACGGCTGCCTGTACCCAGCAGTGTGAAAAATCCCTCTCGAGGCTCTGCCACCAAGGCAGGGTTTCACCATCAGTAACAACCTCTAAATTTGATACCGAGAGACCTGCACAGTGCAAACAGGCTGCGATTTCCGAATGCCGGGCACTAGCTCCCCACAGCCTGGGTACACCACAACACCAGCCGGAAGACAATTAAAAGCAGGGACGATTAACGGAAAGGGAAGAGGGGGACGAGCGGGGTGCGAGCTCCACGTGCCCCTCACGGCTGCCCGGGCCCGGCTGCACCAGCGCGGCCCTTACCGTCCTCGCCCAGCTGCTCGCGGATCTTGGCCAAGTCCGAGCCGCCCACCACCCCCACCTTCAGCTTCTGCCGCAGCCGCTGCAGGAACGCCGCCATCTCCGCCGAGATTTTCTGCGGTCCAAAACAGAGCCGTCAGATTTGCCAGAGGCCAGCGCCTCCATTCCGCAAGCAGCAGCCCAAAGGCGCAGCGCCGCGCGGGGCTTTAAGCAGCGTTAAACGAGTTAAGCGTGCCCACGGAGCCCGCGGCACGGGGCACACGGCGGGCCCCGCGGGCGGGACGCGCTGCGCCATCCGCCCCGCTCCCCCGGGCTCGCAGCCCGTCCCGCACTCGCCTGGCGCGGCGCCGTGAGGGTGCCATCCACGTCGAACAGGCAGAGCGCTGCGGGCGGCGGCGCCATGGCTGCGGCCGGCGGGGCCGCCCTCCCGGCGGGCCGCGCGCGGGGCGGGGCGGGGCGGCGCGGCCATGGCGGCGGTGAGGGCCGGGGCTGCCGGCGCGGGCTGTTCCCTCTTGTCCTCCTTCTGTCCTTTCCCTGTCTCCTTGCCTTTCCCTGTCTCCTTGCCTTTCCCTGTCTCCATCCCTGTCTCCATCGCTGTCGCCATCCCGTCGCGGGCCGCTCGGTGTCGGGTCCTTGCACAGCCACATGGCCGCGCGTGTTGCAGCAGGGCGGGGGCAGCGCGGAGCTTCCCTCCCGCCTTTGCTCCGCAGTTCTGCAATTCCCAGCGTCTGCTCCCTCCTTCGGCCTGATCGTGCTCTCCTCCCCTTTGCCGTGCTTAGTCCACTTTTCTGTTTCCCTAAAACTGCTGTTGAAGTGGTTGTTTACGAGTCGGCGGTTTCAGCAGCTTTGCTGGGATATCGCGCAGCCAGCGAGAGGCGGGGGTGGGCAGGGGTCGGTCACTGAGTCACTGATAGCAAGGTTTTCCCTCTGTCTGCAGGGAGGGATGCGAGCACAAACACCAGTTTCCTACCAGAACACTGGTTTAAGGTTACAGTGACTTTAGTGTCACTTTACTTAGGCTTTACTGTTTGTAGGAGCCCGAGGGACCAACTCTGAGCTCGCTGGTTGGGTTTTAGAGACTCAAAGATGACCCGTGGCAATGTTACCTTGCAGGCTCGGCTCTGCACTGTTAGGACTGCAGTCTGCACAGCAGCAGCTTTCGGGAGATCTCTACAGAAGGAGCTCTGGACGAGGTCGTGGAGAAGGGAAGCTGCTCGCCTGCCCTGCATTTTTGGTTCGTGGGAATGTTTGCAGTCACAAACCCAGCGAGTTCATGGTGTCAGGAATTATCTCAGGAGACCACGAGAGCCGTCTGTGTGTCTGTCCCACTTGGCCCCTGCTGCAGTGGTCCAGCAGAAAGCTGTGGATGGGAGGACAGAAGAGTTCAAACTGGTCTACAGGTTCCCAGGGATAAAGTACTGCAGGGTCCTGTCGAGGCTGAAGCTGCTGCAGACTGCCACCTCCATGGTCATGCTGCCTCCCATCTGCTACCTCTACCTGCAGGGCCAGGTGTCCCAGAATATCCTCCTCTATACAACTGGCATCGCTGTCTTTGCTGGGGCAATGTTGTATGGTATGAGCTACTTTTTCAGAAGGATTATTGGATTCATCTACTTAAGTGAAACTGGACAAACTGTCAGAGTGGCCCACTTGACATTTTGGGGAAGACGTAATGATATTTACTGTCCCATAGAGACAGTGGTGACTTTGGATGAAGTTGGAGATAGCAAGGATGAGCTACTCCACCAGTTCAAGCGGTATAACAGTACAGATACTTTGTATTTTACAATTAAGTATGGCCAGATTGTAGACAGACAGAAATTTACTCAAATATTTGGAGAATTTGTGTGACACAGCAGCATTTCCAATGACTTTCCGTGTTCTTTGTGCTTATTGTTCCATGAGGTTTAAGTAGTTTACCAAACTAGACATCCCTGTCCTTTTCCTGTGCAAAGCCTGCTGTAAGTGCACCCAGTGTAGAGAGTCACAGTGGTAAGGCACAGCCACTGGATTAAAGGTCTTGCAGCTTGTGTGTGGTGTGAGGAGTGCCTGTTCCATGTGGGATTCAGTAATGTCACAGCATTCCAAGTCTGAACTGTCCTTGGAATGTGCCATAGGAGGCCAAATTACTGGGGCTGACCCTGGCTGTTTGTTTCTGTTGGCCTCTTTGGTTTTTATGAAACATGAAAAATCTCTTGAAATGAAATGCAGGAACTGCCAGAGCATCCTCAGTTCAAACTCAGTGTTTCTTTCAGCTAATTTCAGGTTGGCTGGGAGCCTCTGGAAATTAAAGCTGGTCTGGTACATCCATATGATGGGTACTGCTCACATATCAGTGCAATTGAGGGAACTGGGAAGGTGTGTGGGCTGTCCTGGCCTCAGGAGGGTCCTCCAGGATGGGAGTGAAACTGGGCAAAAGAGACACTGGCAGCTCAGCTGTTAAGTTAAAGGCTGGGACAATATTTCAGGAGTCTCTTACAGAAATTGCCATTCTTCATTGGAATGGGAAAACCAGCACCTGTCTCCATGAAGGACTGTGGTCTTATTCCATGGTACTGGTATGATTTCTCCTTTTCCAAAACCTTGGTAGAAATGAGGAATTTAAACCCGAGAAAGAACCAAACATATCATCTATAACATATAATACATTTTTTGAATTGTCAGAAGCAAGATAAATCCTTATACCCCTCTTCTAGTTCTAGCTTCATTTGAAACTGGCAAATAAACTGACTCTCACGAATAATCTGGAGTGTTCTTTCCTTATTTCTTCCTCATGTGAAGTGAAACCTCTTTCTTGGTGGATCAGCAAAGGATCAGTTAAGTAAATTGTCATATAAGTGCACAGGATAACCCTGAATTACTATTTCTCATGTTTAACTTTTCCTAATGGGGTTCTGTGAGTTTAAATTTTGGCTGACACTGTGTAGCACAGCAATATCAGAAGAAATGCAAATGTTCCTTGGTGTAAATATCATAGCAGCAAAATACAGTGGGTTGTACAGGTATACTGCATTTCTTGGAGGTTTATCTTCATCAGAATGTATTTAATAATGCACTAGTGGTTCAGTTCAGGCATGTACTGTGTGTAAAATGAAAAGTCCTGGAGAAGCTCAATTATAAATATTTTATTTAAGAATATTGATTACACATGATTGATGTCATTTGTTATGAATCTGTGTACAGTTACTAGTTACACCATGAAGTGTACTTAAGTATTTGTTTAAACATTTATTTGGCACTGTCTACAGTATGCTGTAAACAATATTAACTTTATATGCTTCAGCTGCAGTGCTTTCTATGTATTCTCTAACGATTTCATCAACATGTTGTACACAATTATACAGTTACTGAGTGTCAGTAAAAATTATAAAAACACCTAGAGTAGTCATAATAAAAGTGAAGATGTGGTAAGACTTCAAATTACTGGACCTTTGCTTCTGTAAAAGTACAAGACTTGCTAGAGACATTCACTAAAACTACTGCACTGATATGTTGAACAAACTAATTCCCAAAATGCTGTCAAATCCAGTTCTTGGTTTGACTTTCCTTTTGCTGATAACACGCTTACGAGGACAGCGATGACAATGAAGTTTTGTTGAACACCAATTTTTACCAGTCCTTTCCCCAGATTTCTACAACCTCTGTTCAAAAACCTGCTCAGGTTCTGCCCAGCTGGCACCAGAATTCTGCTTTCTGCAGATGTTTACAGAAATCCCACTGGGTTTAAGCTGGCAGAAGTGACTGTGCTTTAGTTTCCCAATAGCAGTACTTTAAAATGGGAAAACCATGATTAACACTTCTCAAAGCAGGTAAGGAACCTTTTCACATTTTGGTAGCTGTATTAAACATGTAAATCTTTTAACTTCTCTGTTTCTTATTATGCACTTAAAAATTGTGGTCAGGTCCTGAAAGGGCAACTGTAAAAGTCCATTGTGGTCCCTGTTTTTTGGTGCACAACAAAAAGTTAAACTTAGTAAACAAAATCCAGATGCTCACCAAAAAAAAAGAAAAAGAAAGGCACCAGATCTAGTTCAAGTCAGCCTTCAGCAAACAGTAAAGAGACATCCAAAACAATTCTCTGAAGAAAAACAAATTAATGAACTGTTGACACATTTTTTGATCCTGTGGCTTTCTAGAAGATCTCTGAAATATCAATGACTTAGAATATACTATTAGAACAAAAATAGAATTAACTTTGCATTATAAATGTGCAGTCAGGACTAGGCCTTCACTGTAGTGGCTCTGATACCAGATAATGGCATTTCTGCTTTAGTTTTACAAAATACCTCAAGTATTCGTGTAGAAGTTATAAATAAATTAATGGCTATTGTGTGTTCTGGGCAAATGGTAAAATAATCTGGAATTGTTCTAGACTGCTGGCAGAAGTGGAAGAATGTGCTTTGCATGGTTCTCTAAGCTTTGCAGATTACATACTTCAGGGTAGAGTTTTCTCTGTACAAGTCTGCTTGTAAGAGAAGTCAAAAGTTTTAAAACCCATCCATGATGAGGACAAAAGGACAAGGGCTTCAGTGCCACTTGCAGCGCTGCAGGTGTGGCTGAGGGCACCAGTGCCCCGCGAAGCAGTGAGTGCAGGCTGGGCAGAGCTGCCCCAATGCAGTTGGTGTGGCAGATGCCTGTACTCGAGGGAATAAAGCTGGAAATTACTCTGTAAAATACTGTGCTTGGCAGTGGTGGAAAGCAGAGCTTTCCTTGGAACACTGATTGGATTCCAGCTGCCGTTGGAGGACGGCACTCTGTGTGGCAGCCGTGTGGCTCCGAGTGTTTGGCCACGCTCGTTGCTGAGCTTCTGGATGCTCAGACAGTGCAGAGTCAGGGACGTGGCTGTAGGGAGGACTCTGCAGTTACCATGGCCCAGGCCAGAAGAGGGAGGCTCTAGGGATGCACAGTGAGGGACAGCTGCATGTACCTGCTGGTGACCAGTGCCAATGCTCTGCCTGGGGCGCGTGCGCATGGAGCAGCTTGCCTTGGGCAGGATTACAGACAGAACACAAACCTCAGTTTATGACTTTACACTTATCTTGTAAGTAGAGAAGACATGAATTAATGCAAACTAATTTCATAATCAGCTGTTCAGTGCAAGGGAACTGCTTTTTACTTGAAGTTTGCTAAGATGTCACTGAAAATGTTCAGGAAGAGGTGCGCGTGGTGGTCCTTGAAGATCAGCGTGGGACGAAAACGGATGGATCTGTCTCCACAGCCTCCCAGGACAACACCTGAAACAAGAACAGAATAGGTCCTCTAGTCATTTCCATCTTTGCCAAATTTCCAGGAAGATTCAGGTCTCTGAATGGGGATACCCTCACTGTAGAGGGCCAACAGAAGCTCCCCAAATCCTGCTAGCCACACCATGATACAGCACATTGTGGTGTGAATGGCCTCAAGCTTCACAGCAGCTTAGAAGGACACTGTGGTTGCCTGGAGCTGTTCTAGAAAACACTTGGAGCACTGGGACTCATCCTGACAGCAATGGAAAGAATCCATCCAGCACAGAGCTCAAACAGCATCTGAGATTTCAGAGCTGCAGTACTCTCCTGGTCAAGTGTCCTGGTGCCACAACAAGACACAGGAGGTTTCTTTGCATTGGTTTTTAAACTAATTTGTTTTTAATGACAAGAACTTAAAATGTCTCAGTGCCTGCAAACCTCTCCCTGCAGTGTTTTAAATGCACTTTTTAGCCCAAAATAAATTCTTTTAAATGTTTGAATGAAAACCCATATTACTAAGTTGAGCTTACCATGCCCCAAAGCAGAACCTTGGTCTACCACGAAACAAACCACTTGCCTTCTTTCCTTGCTGGCTTAGTTTCCAAGAACAAAAAATGAGTCTTTTACACTATAAAAGTTCGGTTTCACCACAGTTTAGATGCATCCTGCCTGCTTCTTTCAAAAGATAGGAGTAACAGCAAAAACAGACAGCAGCAAACACAGGACCCACACAGTTAAATCCAAAGAGAATTTTACATGTGGATCCCAAAGTTCCCCTCTGGATAACTGGGCCTGTCTGCAGTTAACAGTTCTGTGGGAAAAGAGGGATGTCACTGTAGATCTGTGCTCATTTTAGGCACTTGTATTTAATCATTAGGTGTTCCTAGGTATAGGAATTATGTATTTATAAAACTCATCGTTCTCTCTGTGTTTTCCTGAGTGACACTGACTTTCTTCTAACTTTCCTGTTTCTAGAAGTAAGCCATGTCCATGGGCACCTAAAGTCACTGCAGAGGACTCTGAACCTGATGTCACAAAAACTCATCCCCTACACAGATCTCTTCCAGTAACCTCAGACCTTCAGAGGCTGGTAAATGTACACACTGTGCAACAGACTGCTCAGAGGTCTCTGACAACAGTCTAAATCCAACTTTGTCATTTCACTACTATCCTCTAATACTGAAATATTCATGCATGATATGAAAAGGAAAATGTGAAGCGTTACCTTCACATGTATTACCTACTCATGAAGCTCATCCACACACACAGAGTTTCTTACCTTTGTTTCTGGCTATTGTAATTAACTTGTTTCTAGTTGCATCGTTTGGAGTGTCAAACGAACAGAATGTTCCTCTTCCTCTCACTCGGCTGATGAGATGGGGGTAACGAGCCTGCAGAGAAGGAGAGACAGGCACATGGCAGGTGCTGCAGCAGAGGGCACCTGGTGGCAAGGCTGGCTCTGCCAGGTGGGAGGGAACCCTGCTGCCTCCTCGCTCCGCTGGAGTGCAGCGACACTCACATGGTGCTCTGCTCAGCCTGCAGAGCCCCACACACAGCAGGGAGGGAGAATGAGTCTGACCCATGAGCTGGGTCAAGTAAAATATTCTTTGGAACGAGCATAACACACCTTATTTGCATCTACAGTGGACTCCAGGAAAACCTGAGCATAAACCATCTGCACTGGGGCTGGAAACCAGCTCATTCTTCCCCTGCACTGAGACACTTGCCAGTAGTATCTGCATCACTTATTCTCAATCACAGTCCTCATCTTTTGGAAGAGCAATCTTTTGGATAGGACTAGTTGTATTCTGGCCCTTCAAAGTATGAGAATATAGTATTCTCTGTTCTCCTGCCTGCTATGCCTTAAAGGTGTGGAGAGAGCAGAGACTGTGTTTGGGATTATTCTATACAAAATGCCTTTGGGAGGTGAGCACCTGCAAGCCTATCTTTAAATGCCTGTCTGTAGGGCTCCACAGTAGAAGCTGTAAGGAATTTCCCTTAAACAAGGGAGGGAAAGATACAATTTACTTATTTCAACAGCCCAGCAGAATTGGAACAAATTATGCAAGGACCTTCCTTTGAAAAGAACTTTAGGACAAAGAAATACCAGCTGCTTACAGTAACAAAACCTTCTAGCAAAGTAATTTAGCTGCAGTACATACCTACAGATATTTTGGGGATCACCCTTTATATTGGATAAAGCTATATAAACCCAGCATTTTTAAGTCAGTGAAAGAAAGTTTACTTCAATATTTCCAAATGGGACAGTTATTCAGGCCTGTGTTGAAGTTACTAGAATGGTCTAGACCCCAGTTCCATCTCCTCAGCCCAAGTGTTTAAACTGGATCAGGTCAGATCCTGCTTCAGCACCTGCTTCAGCTTCTGCTTCTTATCCACATCCTTCCAGATGTTTACCTGCAAATCCAGCAGCCCAGTCAGCAGTGCTTTCCCAGCATGGGTTGCATTGTTTAGAAGGTCCTCTGTTTTAATAACCTTAATGACTTCAGCAAGC